GACATGAAGGGAACAGTTGGGAACAGATCAAATTACAAGTTACATAGAATTATAATGTCATGGTCTTGAAAGAATTTCAAGGCAAGAATTCTTCCTTAACATTTTATTCAGGAAACAAAGTATCGGTACTACATAGTTGACCCCAAAACTAGTTTCTCTTCCCCCTCGATACAAAGTAACAAAGTGCAACTCCCACCCCGAACAAGCAGTCTTAAATCACATTCTCCAGTAGCCTGAAACGCGGGCTTTCTCCCCAGCTCCTCAGCCCGCCAAAACGTCATCAATTTGTCCTTGGGTTCCCACAAAGCAGCGTTTATTATTATGGCTAGCTGAGCTCAGCATTTATCTCAACTCCCCTTCTGCACCTAATCTCTAAATAGAAGAAAAAGCATGTTAAAAGCAAAAAGATAAAATGACTGCGATTTTCATCAGTTGTCAAAGAGGGAACATCCAATGTTTACAGCATTAACATACAATTTCATCTTACACATTTTATAGGAAAGATGATTTGTACATAGTTCACAAGCAATAGAAAGAATTAAATTCCCTACAATTTCTTTAGAAATTACTAAACAAAACATCTTCCTGATGTGTATTTTTATAACAGTTAATAATTAAAAATTGATCATTTGTTTGAGAAATTGCTGTTCATGTTCGCTAACATATGGTTGTTTGTCTCAAACTCTCTGTGTAAAGATGCAGCAACTAGTTGCAGTAGATCATAATGTACATATTTGAATTACATGTTGTAATTGTTTATATTTAACTGAGTAAATTGTAACAGATGGAAAAACAATGCCTGCTTGTCTAGCCTGGTTTATTTCAAATAATTCTACCCTACTCTTTAGGTGAAAAGGCTTCTAGAACAGCTTACAAAATTCAGTATAATTCCTATCCTAGTATAATAAATTGATGCATTTGGGGCATGACACTAGTAATCCAGGGAGGAAGAAAGTCCTGTGGCACATGTCAGCCTTTTGTCAGACTACTGTATAAAATATGCAAAGAATAGTTTTATTGTATTTTTTTTAAAGAAAAAGCCCACATTGAAATGCATCTGTGCATGTTCCCCTGGTATGCTTCTTATTGGTGAATATTTTGAAAGGTAAATTATGCTGCTAAATATGAAGAGTTCTGAAAACTACTTGAGGGGAAAGTAGTTTTTTTCAAACCCTTAGGACTGTACATTTTTATTTGCATTTCCATCAGTTTAATTACTGTTTAAAGAGTTCCCGGGATGATTACACTCAACTATCTTCAAGACATTTCATCCCATTCTTTATATAGGAGTGCTAATTAATGTTACAAGCTTTATTATTCTGCAGTAGTTGCAATTAAGGTGCAGCTGGCCAGCGACATCTTATCTTGGGATGTGAGTTGCAGCTATCATTATCTGAAAGCAATTTGATGAGTCGACAGAAGAAATTATGGTAAATGTTTATTTGTATGTTTCAGATATCATGGACTTAGTTAACTTCTGAGTTAACTAGAGAAAAAATCCTAAAAGTTCTAACAATTAAGAACCTCTATAAGGGATTCTGGAACCAGTAGATTAGCTCCCAAATTATGCCATTTCATTTTTGGCTTGTAAAATGGGTAAATGAGAAGTGAAGTATAATTCACTATGTATGAATGGGCATGATTATGTTGGTATTAATATGCATCTCCTTTATTATATATAATGTTTATATATAATTAATAATTTATATTTTTAATATTTCCAGGCTAACTTATTTATGGAAATTAACTATTTGCTTTAGTGGTTGAGAAATTTGCTATCTAGCATGCTGGTGAAATCAAAATATCTATTAATATAGAGGACACTTGCGGAAGCCCTTAAAAAAAAAACTTGCTGTTGATGCTGCAGATCAATCCATTTTCTTTTCAATTACTTCAGGTTATCATATTAAACTGGTTTCTAGCTTCCCCTTGATATTTTCTGCATGTTACTGCCTTCATTTTCACAAAAAAAGAATAACCACACACAATACACACAGGTTTTGGTTTTTGGTTTTTAGAAAATCAAATTGATTTTTTTCATCTTCTCCAAAGAATAACTGTTTAGATATTTAGCTTCATACTTCTTAACATTCCTTTTGAAAAATCCAAATGTTAATTTCTCAATTCTTTTTTGGTTTGTAAGAAACTCCTTTATACTTAGGAAGTTTATTAATTTATATTCTGCCCTTATTCTTTAAGTAGAAATTTCCTGCCAATTAGAACAATTAATCAGTGGAACGACTTGCCTCAGGAAGTTGTGGATGCTCCAACACTGGAGAGAGATTGGACAACCTTTTGTCTGAAATAGTATATGGTTTCCTACTTGAGCAGGGTGTGCGATTAGACAAAGTCCCTTTCAACTTTGTTATACTGTTATTTATACAAATTAAAGGCCACCATATAATGTTCCCTCCTCCTGCTTTTTCCACAACTGCAACTCTTTTGAGAGTGACTGATTCAAAGTCACCCAACCACCTTTCGTGTCTTGGGGCAGACTCCAGCATCTTTTCTATTATACCAAATTGGTTCTCAATAACATCAAGCCATCAAAATTCACAAAATAATAACTGGGGCTTGTGTGTACATATCAAATCAGAATGTTCCCAGGAATTGTGGGGTAGGGGTCTTCATCTTTATATCTTTAGATAAAGTTTCAAATTTGATACGCATGCATATGGATATAAATCTCTTTGTACATAAGTGGCTTTTACTTTTGAGGTGTCTTGAAACAATTTCAATGATTTATTATTAACACAGAGCCTATGTTAGTTTATGTTTTAATAATCTTCAGGCACACTAAGATTGTTTATATAAAGAGTCAGAGGAATGATAACATCACTACAGCTCCATTCCCATATATTTTTTTCTTTGTGATGTGTTTTAATCCAAACTTGAGATTTTAAGCCTGACAATTGTAAAATGGTTGCGACTATTATAATTAACTTCTACCTTGTCTACAAAGAAAGGTAAAAAATAATGCAAAATATAGAATATTAAGTAAGAAAAAGAAAGGAATCTGAAATAAAGTAAAAAAGAAAAAGCTAAAAGTGCAAAAAAAGGGGGAAAAGTAAAAAAAATAGACAAGAAGGAAAAATATACAAAGAACTAGCTTCTGAGATCTTTACAGCAGTTAGAAGTACAATGATAAATTTACCTCCTACTCTGTGCTTAACTCTGCTTTCTATAATCTATCTTGTCCAATCACCAAAAGCATAAATCCCTATCATCATCATCATCATCATCATTATTATTATTATTATTATTATTATTATTATTATGTTTTATGCAAAAAGTCCATAAGGACAGTCAGCAATCGTAAGTCATTTTTTTCATTATAACTTTTTCATTTATAACTTTGAACAATCATTAAACAAATGGTTGTAAATCAAAGGCTGTCTTTATAATATAATAAAATTTCCAGTCCTTTCAACCACATATTTCCCAATGTTCCAACTGTGTATTATAATAAAATATTTTTACTTGTCATACATTTTCACTTGTTTCACTTCTGTTTCAAATTTTAGTAAAAATTTATTCTCTTTATTGATTGTATGTTTCCTGTTTGTAAACAATTTTATTTCAAACTCAATCTTAAAATGTTCAAAACCATAAATTCCTTCGCCTACTTTAAATATTTCTGATAATTGTAAATAATACCCTTTGCTACCAGTTCTTTTCTTGATTTATTTTACATTGCTCTTGATAAAATTCTAGTATCTCAATAAGTATGTTAATGATCTTGTAGCTTGCAAACCAATCAGTTGCTTTTTTCATTGGCGAAATAACTTTAAATCATAATTGCTGGGATAATACAAAAACAGTATTGCAATCTCTGAATAGCAATGAAGTAAGTTGTTTGACAAAGTAAGTTGTTGACAATGCAAATATTGTTCTGGCTACCATATGTTGTTCTGGCTACCATATGTTGAATTCTATAAAAGACTTACTATATTTTATTTAAAAAGACTTCCATAGAAACAGTTTAATTCATATAAACATGTGGCAGGATATCAAATATTTATTACAAGAGTCTTCAAAATAGAGTTTGCCTTCCTCTATTTAAAAAACAAACAAAATAAAATGAGTTTTAAACAGAGAATTGAATCTAAAGAAGCTACTAAGAATGATCTTGGAAAAATAAAGACCAGTTGAGTAATGATAGTGGATGTCTTGTTATAATCTTGATAGAAAAGAGGACCAAATCATTAAATATATTGAATAAGATGTGATTTCTATACAGAATTCAGAATAATTGCAAAAATTTTCCAGGTCAACAGAAATCTTGCAGATTAAGGTACAGGAATATACAAATATGTATTGATATCCTCCACATATGAGGGCAATAGAAGAAGGGGACGACAGAATGAGGTGGCTGGATGGAGTCACTGAAGCACTAGGTGTGAACTTAAATGGACTCCAATGGACTCCAGAAGGTGGTAGAGTACAGGAAGACCTGGAGGAACGTTGTCCATGGGATTGCGGTGGGTCGGATACGACTTCGCACTAACAATAACAACAATTGTTATTAACCCGAGGATATTAATTTAGTTTTTGTAATTTTTATGACTTTATGAATGATACTTATTTATTTCATAGATGCATAGCAAAAATGTATTTAATTATTAATACAGCCAAACCTGGTTGGTGCTGCCGCCCTTCCGTGATCTAGCGAGGGTCCTCAGCGGTGGTCACCTCTGTAGGGCGACTTTTGACCCTTTCCAGGGTCTTCTGACAGAGAGAAACTGGGCGGTGGAGAGAGGGCTCTCTCTGCACGTCCGCTGGTGCCGTGAACCGGAACTGGTTTTTAAAGAGAAAAAGACCTGGCTAAAGTTCTTTGTTTATAAATATATGTACAAATATTATAAATCGATCAAAGTACAACAAAGGAAGTTCAAGGGTAGATATTTATAATGTTTGCTTTAATATTTCTGCATGTATTTATAAAATAAATGCTTGTCTGATTTATGTTTCATTTCTGGTTCTGGCTTGATGTTATACAGCACTGATAGCCATTGGAAGATACAGTATGACAATAGAAACAGTTGATGTTGGATGGTGCAAAGAAATTACAGATCAGGGAGCCACCCAGATTGCCCAGACTAGTAAATCACTTCGATACTTGGGACTGATGAGATGTGATAAGGTAAGAAACATTGTATAAACAACCGATATGATATCCCCATGTGTTTTACAAGCCACATTTTTAAATCTATTCAAGAAGACAGTAAATGCAAATTCTATATGTGATCTTTTGGTCCTTTCTGGTTGTTTAATATTGAAGTTATGATGCTAACATAGTTTTACATAGTTTCACTTTCTGAATTTTCTCATTTATGTCTGATTATTATATATAATTCATTAATATAACAATCTGCTTAGATTTAAAATAAAAATCTAAAAATATGCCTTGGCCCCCAAAAAGAACAAAATGTATGACTGTAAAAGTCCTAATTTTGCCTCACGTTTCTTGTTCGTAACTCATTGTTTTAAAAACAAGAAGCTTAATATATTTACTTAAAATGATATAAATCCAGTATAACCATTATATATTATTAATTTTTCCACACATTATGGACTATTTCTTGCTTATTCAGAAAAACATTAAAATGTTTCTTTGTACTACATTTTTTACTTTTAAAAACAAATTGAAACTTTTGAAAAAATTCTAAACTAAAGAAACAATTATTTTGCTAGTGCGATTTGTTTACAGAGCACACTAGTTTATACCTGAATATTTTGTGAGGCAAGACAAGCAAAGTACAGATAGTCCTTGATTTAGCAGCCCCAATTGGGACCAACAACTTGATTATTAAGGAAGGCAATCATTAAGTGAAAATGTGACTATGCTTATGCTCTTACATTGGCTTTACGAACCTGCAAAGATCATAAATGCAAAGATTGGTTGCAAAATTATTTTTCCATCACTGTACTGCAAAATGATCACTATATAAGTCAGTTGCTAAATGAAAACTGCCATTATCCAAGAGTCTTATTTGATGAACAGTGCTAAAAATATTTGCTTAATTTCTTGGATTTAAGTTAGGCTTTCAATTATCAGTCAATTTTACATATATTTTGTGGGTATAATTAAATTTGCTCATACAATAAAGGAAGCTTTAAAAAAAGTCTATGTCTTCCCTTGAAGTACCATACCAAAAATTTCAATGATCTTGGTGTTTTAAACAGATTTTAGTATGCCATCAGTTAAACCATGTATAATCTATATACAGTATTGTTTGTACTCCTTTAATTGCTTGCTTATGTTTTCCTGACTTGCTACAAAAAGAACTGCATGCTGTGAAGGGAAACAACTAAGCTAACAAGAATAAGAATCTGTGAGAGTGCTACAAAGCAAGTAGGGAAAACTGTTCTTGATTAATGGGGAAATATATATTGGCTATCTTGATGAGAATGCTGTAAAGTGTGGCATAAGAGACACCACTGGGGGTCATTTAACTTGCTTGTTAAACCTCTGTGTGCAAGGGAAAGCTGAAAAGTAGCTGTAAAAAGAACAAAATTCAGAAGCTGTATCCTGAATTTTAAATGTTTTAGATGCAATGTTGGCAGCCTAAGAGCTTCATTCCTCTTTCATAGTCAGAAAGTAGAGAACTTTTCTTCCTTAACTTTTCATATTTCATGCAGAATTCATTTATTTTTCGAACTAATGCTTTTAGAACATCATTACAGTAATATTTGGCAAATAAGAAAGGTTATTAAATGCCATTGTGACTAAAAGATGTTCAACCACACACTTGGATGAGAAGTACATTTGTGTTCAATTTTTCACCTTCTAATCTTTTCTAAAATATTGAATAAGTTGCTATACCAGATAGTCATTTCCTTTATGTGATGTTAACAGATATGGAAGAAAAACTATCAACACAATGACCATAAAGAAAATATAGCAAAAGATTCCAATATTCTCCCCAAAACATTATTTTATGAATCTCCTTTGAGTCTTTTTCATGTGTACTTTATGTAAATTTAGAATTACTAAGTCCTAACTAGTCCAAAGAAATTGCTGAGCTGGTTAAATCCAGCCTCTGCTTAATTCCATTGATTATATAACTGGTTCTGGGCGACAGATTCCACTAGTGGTTATTGCTATTGATCCCCACTATGAAAATAATCAGATTAATTGCTTTTTCATCAAGTTCCTTTAGTGTAGTTCTTTTGATTTTCATACAGTTGACACAACAATTTTAAGGAGCAAAATGGCTTGATAATAATATTAAGTAAAATATTGTTTTATTGTCCTGTCAAGTCATTATTCCACTAAAGTAGAATAGAAATTTTAATCAAAAAAGGTGGATCTAAGAACTGTATGCTTTTGCTGTCTGAATGAGTAAGGTTTCTAGTATGAAAATATTGCATGACTCCTTACTTAGTTGAGAGTAGTATTCTAGAAGAAAATCATTAAATAGATTTTTTTTTAAGAAGCATAAAAAGCTGGTTCCATTAATGGAGTAAGTGGAACTTCCCATGTATCCTCATAATCCATTCTGGGACAGATTTTGAGAGTATGTGGAGAAAAAGAAGAAAATAACATTTTGTTGCTAAGGAAATCTCATTTGATTATGGGATTTGGAGGTTGAATGATCATCACTACTTGTGATGTCTTCAATTTTGCTAGATATCAAATGTTCTAAGATTTCACTGATCTTATCCTGAAAATATAGGAATACCACGAAATCTGTTTTTATGAATTTTTAATCAAAATGAATGAAATTATATATGTATTTATTCAAAAGTAAGATATTTATAGATTTTTAATTATTTAAAATGCTGTCCAAAATAAAGTACAAAACTGTGAGTAGCAAGATATAAATGGCAATATAACCAAACATACAATGAACCAAACTTATATATGATTTTTTTTAAAAAAAATGCCTTAAACTTAGGAAAATATCTTCATTTGAAAATAGGGAATAGTTTAGAATTTTCAAAAGAACAAGACATGAGTATTGTTAAATTTATTTTTTTTTCATTAGTGCACACACATTCACTACCTAACATAACCTTAAAAATAGAAAAGTAAAATTGTCCCAAACAAAGCACCAGCTTGCAGCTTCATTAAATAAAGAATTCTAATAGCCTCTATGAGCCCCAAATGTAGGAAATACTTTTTTTAGAAAATATTAATTGAAGAATGTCTACAGTTATGTCCCAATGTAATCCAATTAGGGTTGGATTAGATTGTTCTTTCCCAGCTGCATTAAAAAAAATACATACAGTTAGCATAGGAGAGAAGGCTTAAATTTTTCTGTTATGAAGTAATTAATTAAGAATTGTAGCATAAAATGTTTTTTCCATTATGTCAAACAAAAGTGATTTTCACAATATTGTTGGCTTAAGAATTGAAGTGATAACTTTCATTTTTAAAAGAAAAGACATTTTCTTAAGTATGCAGCATTTATTCCCCTCCCACTTCATATGAATAGCTATAATTTGCAGAAATCAAGTAGCTTCATAATTGATTCTCTGAATTTTTGAAATGTTATGTGTAATTGGATATCTGATACTCAAAACTCACACAATCCTATTAGAAGGCAATTTACTTCAATGATTTCATCCATTTTAATTTATCTTAAATTTATTTTAAATTTAGATCTGGAACATTAGCTTTTTAAAAGATAGAATAATATATATATATCTGCTGGGGCAGTTAGTTACATAGACAGGTTGTATTCATAATGTTCTATTAGTAACTTTCCAATTTATTAGTTTAATACTAGTACAATATTTCTAGTTTAACATTTTACTTTTACTTAATTTTGTAATATGGGAGTTATACCAGGTACTCCCTTCAAATAACAGGGTACCATATAGATCAGGTGATTGAGCTAACCACTTGGGAATGAATTAAGCTGTGAGAGAAACAACCCCTTCATTTATTATTTTGCATACAGACTTTAGTAATGCAGTCTAAGGCAGAACATGGAAATGATGATCTACTTCATAAGAATAATATATAAGAAATGGGTCTGAGTATATTCACTTTGACAGAAGTAATGCCTCAGTATTCAGGTAGATGCTAGCCTTATAAGGTGCCGTCACTTAGTCTACTTTTATTGTTTTTAATCCATAATTCAAACTGAAGTGTTTTAACACTTAGAAAATCCAGGATGCAGATGTTTTTCTGTGAGTGTATTAATCAATTACCCTAAGCCCTCAGCACTGAGGTAATCACTGAAACTTTGTGGAACATCTCAGCTGAATAGATCAAGTGCCTAGCACTTCACACAGAATGATTTCACAAACCTTTTATTATGTTGTAGCTACAGGCAGGAATTATAATTAGGCCACCTGAGAATGTTATTCATTCAACTATTAAGTTAAAAAATATACTTAAAAATAATTGAGAAAATAATGTTCAAGATATAGAACACATAAACCTGTTAAAACCATTGAAAAAAAGGAAAAGGACATATGAAAGGTTTCTAAACAGTGGAAATCTGAATAGTGGATATTTTAAACGTATAAATAGTTCACCAGGATTATTTGTTTGTTTGTCAAATTTGTATAACTGACCATCTCCATACAAGATTCCAGGTGAAGCCAATCCAAAAAATAAAAGTAACAAAAACAATATAATACCATATAAAATCATAAAACAAAACTGATATATTGTAAATAAGTTATTACAATCAGGTTCTGGAATAAGAGTATGGTTTGATTTTGTCTGTGAATTGTAGAATTTCAATAAATACCACCAGTGCTTTTATTTGACATACATGACCAATTTTGGGTCATAAAGTAGTTTATTTTGGTCTCTATGTTATATATTGCTGTCTGTTGCCACAAGTCCCATAAATTTAGGTTTCTGTATTAGAAATAAGTTGATATTCATCAGTATTCATCAGGTTGGAGGATGGGATAGAGCCAAATCTTAAAGCTCGCAGTTATGAACTGTACACATGATATACTAATTGATACATATGCTCTCTGATACTTGATATATAGTAGGATTCCAGACATATATGATAACCAGGATTTCTAATATTAAATTCTCCCAATAAACTTATATTTAGTGTGTTACAGCTGCTTGTTGCAATTAGTATTTAGTTTGGTTTGGTCTTTTGACATGAAAGAACATCCAATAATAAGACAATCCACATTCATCCTCTGCACTAACTAGTACAATTGCTTCATTTGGCTGTGAGAACTGGGGATGGAAATATATATGCATTACATTATTCTAAGAAGGAATGGGGCAGTCAGTTTTATATAAAGCACATAAAATGTTAAGGATATAATTTAAAAAAGAAAATACAGCTAAATCTAGTTTACCAAAACTATTTACCATACTTATACCTTTCTATCCTTAAAAACTATTCTTGATTCCATAAATTACATGCATCACTTCATGTATATTGTCTTTTATTGTTTACAAATTTCGTTGATTTTGAGGATTTCACCATTTAACTTTTTTCAATCTTATTTTTCCCACTCTTTCTTAATATATTTTCCCTCATTTTCTCATTTGCTCCTCTATATTGCTAAATCACCTTAATGTACTTCTTTTGTACTTGTTATTCACTTTTGCATTCAATCCACATTCATTCAATGCCCATTCATATTTCTTTCTGTTTTAGTACGCACACGCTTTCTAAGTAGCCTATTCTCATTGCATTCAGCTTTTATGTATCTCCTGTCTTACAAAGTACATAGAACAATGTGCTTGTATACACCCGTTTTTGCCTCTTTTGAGAAACATTCCTTGCAACAGATCAATTACCATTCTGCCAACATTTTTATTTTCATCACAAGAACTCTGCATTCTATCTGCTTCTTTTAATTTAGCCATTCTTTGCTGTTCTGACCATATTCTTTGCAACTTGAGGGGATGTTTTTTCTTTAGAACTCAGAACAAATGATCACATTCCAGTTTTGCTGAACTCTTATATGATTGTTCTGAAAAAAGAAAGCCAGCAATAAAATCTGAAGGGATCCTGAATAATTTTATTCAGCAAGTAGGGCAAGGTTGATATGTATCACTTTTCTATTTCCTTCAATAATTTCCAGCATAGCATATCCCATCACCAGCTTACTCTTCGGGTTGCTCGGGGCTTTCCTTTTCTCCTTTACCTGAATCAACTCAAAGTATTGATATGCTAGTCCAGGCCCCCCTTCCCTACTGAAGTGTGCACAGTAAACACAGCATAGCACATCTCTCTGGCCTATCCACTTTCTAGTGCCTCTCCTGCTTCTGATCAGCTGTTGATATATTTGGATTTTTCCCTCAGTTACACCCCACTCCCAATCACTTTTGCTCAGAACAAACCCATTTCATCTTGTATATAGAACAAAACATCCAAAATTAGTGTTTGTGTTCAGGCACCATTCATGCAAAATGTGTTGTTCACTGTTCGTACTAGTTCATGTATATAACATTTTGAATATCCTTATTTGCAGCTATTTTTTTCTTTTTTTTTCTCATCCATGTTTTAACAACAGGATACTATCTCTTAGTTTTGGAGCATTTTGGCTAGTATTTCACACATTCAACCTAAACCCAATTTTATATGAAATATGTTCACACTATTCTATGCAAGTTAAGAGCTCTAATTTAAAGACTACTTTGCAAACCAGAACATCACTGCATATATTGTGATAATACTCAGGATGATCAAAGTCTATAGGCCTATCTAATTAACATCTCTTCTGCTTTTGCAACTATTATGTATGATAGGGCCCACACAAACATATATAAGCAATATATTTGCTAAAATTACTGCACAGTGTACAAAAGTATCATGTTTTCATAGAAGTCTGGAAGTTGCAGTTTCAATATCTAGAAGATGCCAACATTGGCAAAGGCTAATATTGGCTTTATGTGATCATCCACATATTGCAGTAACATTTCTGGTCAGTTTTAAAATATAATTTATTGATATGTCTGAGCTGCCATAGATATACCATTACAGATTTCATTCTTATTGATTAAAAGGCACTTCCTGTTTTTTGGACACATTCAGTGTTGCTGTAATATAGTTGTTTACAAAAGTGTTTAGGGCATGCAGGGTCTCTGTGTACTTGAAATAGAAGTTAAACCAATTTTCTATCCAAGTTGCTCTTCAGTTGACAAATCTCCCAATGAAGATTGAATGTTTCTATTATCAAAGCAGAAGAACTGTAGATTAAACCCTGTCATTTATCCCTGTCATAAAATGCAATCACTGTTCATTCTCTGCACTGCCTAGCACAATTGCTTCAGTTTGGTGTTTGCTCAGGGCAGTAGGACTGAGGGCTGGGGGGGAGGGGGAATAACAATAATAAAGAGATATTTGAAAAGAGTCTGTTGTTTTTTAACATACCCTCGTCCAAGGATTTTAAGAAAATTAAACATATATTTGTGGTAAGAATGGAAAATGCCTTGGATATGTAAATCTATTTTAGTTCAACATCAATAAAGAAGTACAAAGTGAACAGTTGTGACAAAGGAACACTGTTAAGAGTATTTAAATTAAATATTGATGTATTTTAAAATTCAATAAAAAATTCTAAGGAAAGTTACCTAGAAGTCATGTTCTTAGGTTAATCTAGTTTTTTAATCTAAAGAATGATGGAAGCTGTCTGGCTCTGTGATATGAACTACAATCAGCTTAAAAATAATTGACAAATTAATCCCTTCACAGCACTGCAGTTGTAGAGATGTTAAGTTTAATTAGACCTTATTGATCGCTTTGTATGATAGAGGAATAAAGGTAATATCTTTGGTTAAGGTCTAGTACAGATATTTCTGACCTTCTAAGCTGTACATTTTAATTATTGATTGTGATGATTGCGGTTATTACAGAGGGAAGATTTTAATTCTTTCGCAATGAGAAAAGTGGGGGGAGGGGCAAAATTGCCCTCCCTTCTCCTGAAGAGATGGGTTTTTCATTGACAGCTAAAAATATATGATTCAGATTCATATATTCAGATGCATAAATAGCTTTTGCTTGAATGTTGTAACAATACAGCCTATCTAGATAGTATTACAATCATTCTGAAGTTTAGAATTTAGGGACATTTTTCTACCCAGTATTTCTGCTGGAAGCCCAAGTGGCTGCTATGTTACCCATTTTCATGTTATTGTACTCTTTTCTGGAGATGTTAGTTTATGATTACAGTGTATCAAAGTATTATTGCAATGAATTTTACCTGAAGATGCAATTAAAGAGTGTCCAGAAATTCCAATATATCTAAAATGTAGTGGATAAATTGTCTTTTAATGCAGTGTTTCCCAAACTTGACAATTTTAAGGCATGAGGACTTCAACTCCCAGAATTCCACAGCCAGCAATGCTGGCTGTGGAATTCTGGGAGTTGAAGTCCACATGCCTTAAAATTGTCAAGTTTGGGAAACACTGTTTTAATGTATGCATGCTTATACTACATTAACTTTGTTCCAAATCCATTGACTTCGGATGGTAGCACAATTCAAAATTCTGGTTCTTGTGGTCCAATATGAGTACTTTCATTCTTATGAACCTGTTAGGTCCATGTTCTTTATAAGGCACTGGGCCCACGTTCCCTGCAGAGCCCACTCCCAGCCTCTGACCATACCTACCCATGCCCATACTTATTCATACTTTGGAGCTTCTTTGCTTGGGATATTAGACTTGTTTTACTTTTGTTTCATCTTAGGCAAATTATTAATACTTTGAAGGATATTGCTCCAAAAAATTTTCTGATAATTTTAAATACAAACAATTCTGTATTTGAAAAGATCGCCATATTCTTGTTTAGTATGTCATGTTTAGTATGTCATGTTTTAGAGTGAGATTAAAGGACAACATGTGGTATTAGTAATAAATAATATATATTTTTTTTTCTTTTACATGTAGGTGAGTGAAGTAACTGTGGAACAACTGGTACAGCAACACCCACATATCACCTTCAGTACAGTGCTACAAGATTGCAAGCGGACCTTGGAACGGGCATACCAGATGGGTTGGATACCCAGTATGTCCAGTGCCTCTTAACTCATGCTATGGCATTAAAAAAAGAGATTTAAACTGAACAATTGAAAATGGTTAAGGATTTTTAATTAATATTTCTTGCTTTTTATTAAATATATGTTTGGTGTATGTATATGCAAGAGAGAGAGAGCATGAGTGTATGGCAAATGTCTATTCAGTCTTTCAATGGAAATATTTGAAGAAAAATATGGTCAGATATAATTAATTTTTCTGAAATGTTTATTTGTCAATTTAAAATCTGCAAATCAATAAGATTTTGCAGAAAGCTTGCCCTTTTTTGTAAATTGAATGTTTACATAAACTAGAATACTGTTTTGATGTTTTTTCAAGGTATATGTTCATGATAGAAACAAATTTTTTAGAGATGCATTATAAGATTTTTTTGTTTGTTGCTTAAAAGCTTTGGGTTTTAACTTCTCAAGTGGGTTTCTTCTAGCTCTAAGGTTAGTTTCAGCAGTTATGTTGTAATGACTTTTTGTTTCATGCTATTTCTTTATTATTAATAGTTCATAGTTCTTTTTAAATTGTAAATTGCAACTTCTTTCCCAAACTCCCCTTCAATTAGAAGTAATAGATAATCCTAAATTAGATTATCAAAATATTACTAACCTCTTGTGCAATTTTGAAATGCACATTTATGAAAATCTACAAAGGTACAAAAATATAATTTTTTTATGATAAAATTTATTTTGAATGGAATCTTTAATAAATGCTGGACCTAAGCATAATGGCAATTTAAGCAGACTATCTGTCTGGTCTCTATTGGTTCTACAAAAATAATATTTCTCAGTTGCTTGTGAGTGTATGTATTTAAGTGTATATTTCTTGATTACATTTTTACATCTTTAACACTTTCCAGTTTTGTACATCTTCATTTTAATGTTAAGCACTTTTTATTATTTAGATATGTGAAAAGTAGTGTATCTAAGGATTCAGGATTTCTCTCTGTGTAAAGAAACCTCAGACTTGCATTTCCTGTATGCTTCTGTAGCATCTCAGGGGAGAAGGAAAGAAACATCTGCCTCCACTTATAATTTCCTGTTATATCTAAATCTGGAGTATTGTAGTTAATTGAAAGTATGGTTAATTCAAACAAGTCAGAATCAAACTATTGTATCTGTAGCCTATTTCTTTAAATATAATTTAAACATAGGTATTTGGAGATGTATTTTTCCAAAAAAATGTTCATAGTTTATTTCAAACTAGAAATGTATTGTTTTGTTCTCTTTCTATGATGCCCAACTGCTCTGTGATTTAAATCTGATGTTCATAATGCATTTTTATAAAGCATTTTCTCATCCATGCCAATATGGTAACTTTTTCAAAATACATGGAAATTCCTGTAGGACATATACAAATTTATTCATGGGCCTTGGTTTTGAGTAAAAATGTTTGCATGTGTTAACTACTTATCCAAACAAATTAGGCCATGCTCTAAATATCTTTATGCTGTCATTCACTCAGGTTTACAACTATAATGACAAGTTATAATGAGATATGTAATCTCAGATGGAATCTTAACAACTTTAAAAAATGACAGCATATAAAACTACTTGCTCAAAATAATCTTTGTATGACCGTGTATTTGCATTCATGTTAACCATAAAGCATCATACTGATGTAAATAATCCCTTAGTAAGAGGTTTATTATTCCACCATGTTATATAATCCTAGGAATAAATTTTATGGAATTCACTCTGGCCAGATGCGTATAGAATGACATTGTTATTCTTCATTCAACATAGAATATCAAATGCTGCAGTAAGGTAAAGAGAAGATTTTGGTAACATTAAATACTTGGTACTGACTGTTGTAAAATATTTTTTGATGAGAAACTTTTATCTAGAATCAGAATTTCATTTTACTGAGGCATACTAGTTATTTATTTATCAAATTTCTATACTGTTCATTTCACATGTGTGACTCTGGGCGGTTTACAAACAATCTAATAAAACAATATAAAATATGACTAAAAGCAAAGTTAAAAACAAAATTAAAAACAAAGTTAAAATTTACAAGTTAAAAGTGAAAATTAAAGTTTAAAAATTCATGAGGCTAAAGGTTAACTAGACTGAGGGAGAGCCCTCAAGCCACCAGTCATTCCCAGGGTTGCATAATAATCTCAGATCCTCATGCTAAGAGGCACAGCTAAGAAAACCAGAACTGTGGGGGCTTGCCTCAGCTAAATGTTCCAAAAAGCAGGGGAAATAGCAAAAAAGGCTATCTTCCTAGATCTTGCCAGTGAAAATTCTTTAACTGACAGGATTCACAGCATGCCCTCCCTGTTTGACCAGCTGGAATGGGCTGATATAATTGGAACAAGAAGGCACCTTAGATACCCTGGTCCCATGCCATTAAGGACTTTAAAGGTAATAACCAACACCTTGAATTGGACCCAGAAACCAATTGACACTCAGCACAGCTCACAGAGCAGAGGTACTGCATGTGCCACACTAGCCCAGAACTGCTTATATCGCTACATTCTGCACCAGTTGCAACTTCCAGATAGTCTTCAAGAGTAGTCTCATGTAGAGCGCATTGCAGCAGTCCATCTGGAAGATGACTAGGGCATGAGTGATTGAAGGGCTTCTTGTTCCAGGAAAGGCAGTTAACTGGGTGCACACCCAATCTTTAGCAAAGGCTCTCCTATTCTTGAGGAACCAAATGCTTCCCTATCATTTATAATTATATTGGATAATTTTCATATTTTTATTGCATCTGATAGTATCAGCATTCATTTATTATTATGTGAATTCCTCTGACTCCCCAAATAGATTAACTGAATATAGACAGAAAATCACTAGAATATATATATGAGAAGGTTATTTTTATGTATATTAGACTGCTATGAATGGTTACATTTCAGGATAATTAACAAAGACACACTGAAAACAGAATAGTAGATAACTTTTAGAATGTCACAAATTAATAAAGAATTTTTTTAGATGTAACACTGAATTTGTTTTTTAAAGGTTAACGCATTTTAATCCATAATATCAAATGTTCACAATTGACTTGAAAGTTAAAGTTTCTCAAAATGTCTGGCTAAACTAGAAGACTTCAGGCAAAATAATTTGGAAAACAGCATTTATATTTTTGGTCTTGTTTCTTTTTTAGAGACTCTGAATTGTAATAAATCCCACTAATACAATTTTTTCAAAGAAAGTATTCCATTTTCCTTCTTTGATGCAAGTACTAAAAGGAGATAAAAAATAGTAACTATTATAATATTTACTTTGAAAATTACTTAATGATAAGTAATAGTTTTGTAAGATTTTATCCAATATAATATATGTAGAAAAGATTTAAAGAGTATATAATTCAGTAGCAATTATATAAGAGATCACTAAAATTGAAATCAGTTGTGAATGTACCTATACAATGACCTATAAAAGTTTTCAACGAACACTTATCAAAGTAGAATCATGAAAGTGAGATTTTTGCAACTGTAAAAACTTTGCACTGATAATAAAATATGCTAGTGTAGCTTTAGCTTTATAACAGAATCTGAAATAAAAATTGTGCCCTAACAGAAATATTTATATGCAAATTTTACATAGTAGGTATGATTAGTGGAAAGGAAAATGTCTGTCAGAATTAAGACATTTATTTAAACCTATAATCTTCCCTACTGTAACAATCATCTAGTCCTATATCATTTCTCTGTATCAGAGTTTCACACTGAGAATTGGCATGGGTCTAACAACTAGGTGTAGGCTGAGTAAGAAACATATGGATCAATAAATGCTCCCTATTCTTACCATTCATTCAAAACAGTGTCAGAATACCATCTAATGACTAATCCAGCTTTGACTCATGCTTTGAAATAATAGCTTCAGCTGAAGATGTTTATAGCCACAAATGTCACATATGTTAAACAATTTGAGTGCAATCCAAATAACATCTATAATCCTCAAACTCGCACACTGTATGTCTGCTCTTGTGGAATAGGATAAACTTAGACAAGTCAATGATCTGGATTTTTTGTTAAAAAATCAGGACAGCAATGTTGGCGTGGTTTGATGCTGGAATCTTGAACTGAAAAGTAGCTGTTTTAGAATTAAAGTGGAAAAACAAATCATTGATAGAGCAATGTAATGCAAAATATTCTGTAGCCATCTATGTATTAAAAGTTTATTAAAGGCATCTTTAAAGAGTGTATTAAAGGCAAAAAAACAATTTTGTATGAAGCACTCAAGCATCAGTTCACAAAGCTAATTTTAAAAAATAAAACAAATTAATATTTAATACATGGTTCAACATTGTTATATACAGTACTGAGAGAGAGAGAAAATCCCTTTTTATGTTGCTTTTTACTTTATTCTTTTATATCCAGAAGCCAAATAATAGTAGTGCACAAGAAGATACAATTGACTTATGGAAGTCAATTGATGCTAATACCTGAAGGCAGGACAAGAAACAACGGATGGAAACCAACCAAAGAGAGAAGCAACCGAGAACTAAGGAGAAATTTTCTGACAGTTAGAACAATTAATCAGTGGAACAACCTGCTTCCAGAAGCTGTGAATGCTCCAACACTGGAGGTTTTTAAAAAGAGACTGGACAGCCATTTGTCTGAAATGGCATAGGGTTTCCTGCCTGAGCTGGGGGTTGGACTAGATGACCTCCAAGGTCCCTTCCAACTTTATTATTATTATTATTAGTAGTAGTAGTATTAGTATTACTACTACTATTGCTGCTGCTACTGCTACTACTACTACTACTATGATGGCTCTTTATAAAAGAATAAAATAATTAGAATAAAAATACAAATAAAAGTTACTTAGTTATATGATCCTTTAAGCAGGACAACAATCAAACCAAGAGCTTTTAATAGCAATTGCAATTAAGCAAAATTTTTCTATATTCTTGAAAATTTCAATGAAAACCAACCAGTAAAAATGAGGGTATTTATGAATTCTGCATGAGAAGTACAATCGAAAGAGTAAAGTGAACTTTTGTGTATTCTATGGCCATGATATCTTTAGGTCATAAAGAAGATACAGCCCTGGTGCAGCTCTGCCTCTTTGGGACCTTCCCACTGCAAGTTGCTAAGCTGGCTTAGGTATTCTGAAAGTCCAAAAAATTAATCTAGAATTAATAATCAAATTGTATATTAATATTTCATACTAATGATACAAAGACACCAAGTACTAAGCAATAGATAATTTAGCACAAAGAGTTAATAATGCAAATCAACAACTTATGTAAAATAATGTGCTAAATTCCACATTGCTATTTCTTAATAGTAATATAGGAATTTAGTACACTATATTAGATCCACTGTTATTAAACAATCCCCCTCCAAAATTCAGACATTCTTTTGATTTTATTGGGATGAATTTAAATTTTCTTCAAATGTCCTATTTGAGACTTTCAGTGAGTCCTGTCATGTTTAAGTAAACCAACTTGATACTATTATTTTTGTTCATTTTAATCATAACATTTGATGTTGAAAATGTGAAGATTTGAATTAGATAAATATATGTGTACTATGTGTATTCATAAGTTTATAGGCCTAAGATTCCTCAGATGGCATTAAAAAGCTCAGGCATCTTGAGTGATTGATTGACTGATTTGGTATTAAAGCAAAGGAAAGCACATTGTAATTGTATCGTAAAGTCTGCCAAGTAATTTCAAAGTAACATAAGGAATGAGACCACTGCTCCCTGCAACCTTCTGGTATTATTTATTTATTCCAACAAGGGGATGCAATCAAATAAGGAAAAGTCAAGCAGGAGTTATTTTATATGTCAGTATATACAAAAGTTAGGCAAACCACTAAAACATTCTTCTATGATTTTCTGCCATGGATCAGACCAGACCAATGGGAAATACTTTGTGATTCAGCAGTTGTTTATGGAGATTGATATCACCCTTGCAGTGACATTTTATTTATTTTTAAAAGTTATGTAAGCTGAAAGCAGAGAATATCAATTTGAAGGGAACTGTAAGAATATGAGGTGCCCATATTCAACATATTAGATTTGTAAATGCCACAACATATTTATTCAAAAATAAGAGAAATATTTGACTATACAATATCATAAATATTGGTCAGTAAAGTAACAGCTGACTGCTGTCTCTTGAGATGAGTTGAGATCAATCTCAAGTAGCTACTGAAGCATTAAAAACATTTACTGTAGCAAACTAGAAAAGATAATTCAGAAGATTTTGCAAAATCACCTGTAATACTCCCTAGTTGGATGTATTTAATGAGGTATATGTAAGCCAATATTTTTTTTGATGTGTTGTTGATTTTGAACTCTAGGACTGTCTGCAATAAGATCATATCCATTCATGACTGCGACTCTAGGCTAGTCAAGTCAAGGTTTCATGTTTGGTTACTTAGAGAGGTTTGAGCGTGCAACTCCTGAGAAAGTAGTCATTCAATCTGCTACTGTTAATCCAGCCACATGTTTGTTAGATACATATTCCTCCTGGTTTGTGAAGGCTGTTCAGAAACTAACATGTATCTCTGCCCATGTAGTGGTGCTGGTCTCTGTGAGAGAGGAGTACTTCTCCCGATTTTGAAGGGGGCAGTGTCCTGAACAATTTTCATCCTATACCCTTTTTTTTAAAGAACAATTGTTGAGAAGATGGTTTGGTTGCAGTTACAAATGAACTTGGAAGAAATGGATTATCTGGATTCTTTTTAGTTAGGTTTCACTAAACACAATACAGATTCCTGGACACAATACAAATACAATTACTGGTAACCTATGGTGGAGCTGAGATTGGGTCAAGCAGGGCCTGGCTCCTTAACCTTTCAATAGTGTTTGATATCATCAGCCAGGATATTTTTCTGTACCAGCTATGAGGAGTCAGAATAGGAAATATGGTATTATGATAGTTGCCCTAATTTCTCTATGACTAATTCCAGTCAGTGCTGGTAGGGGTAGAGAAGATAAGCCTAAAGCCCCTGATGTACAGGATGCCTCAGGGCTTGAAGTGCTGGGGAAAGGCATAATCAGTATTCTGATGATGCTCAGTTGTACATCTTAGCCTCTGCCTGACTAAATTATGTTCTTAAGGTCTTGTCCCAAAGCCTGCAAATTATGAAAGTCTGAGTGGGGATGAACAGACTCGGGGGTCAACCCTAGCAAGTCCAAGTGGCTGGGGATCATCAGGTTTTGGCCCTTAACAAAATAGCACTGCCCCATTCAGGACTGGTGTATAATCTGGAAGTCTTCCTAATCTCTCAGTTCCTGCTAGAGAAGCAGGTGGCAGTTGTGGCCAGGAAGACCTTTGTACAAGTGCTGTTTGTGCACCACTTGTACCCATTCTGGATCAAGAATCGTTCCTTGTTGTCATTCATGACTTACTCATCTTGTGTTTGCACTATTGCAGTGCTTTATATATGGTTCTGGTCTTGAAGATATATGGAAGCTATAGTTGATTTGAATGGACAAGCACAAGCAGTGATGGGAAAGACTCACTGTGACCATATAATATGCTGCAATTTGAACTTCATTGGTTATCAGTTGGCTTCTGAATACAATTCAAGGTGCTGGGTGTCATTTATAAAATCATACATGGCATAGGATCTAGCTGTTTGGGAAACTCCATTTCCCATGCTGTATGCTAGTCCCAAGTACTGTGACAAAGTTGGCTTGCTTTTAGTACCAACAGTTAATTGGTGTGATTTTGTGAGGCCTATGACTGCACCTGCCTTTTGGAACAGCATCCACCCATATAGCTCTCAGCTTGCCTTCAAGCATTCCTTAAATATTCAGCTTTTCGTCTCAGGACTTCAAGCCGCTGAGGGGAAATAATTTACTAGGTCAGGGAGATTGTTAGACCATTTGTGCAAGAGGAGATACTACTGCTGGCATTAAAGGGAACTACCTGGGGCCAGACTGGAGATGTCATTGAAGTCCTGTTCTGGTGCTTGGAGTATATGAGTATGAGGATGGGATAATTCAGGCATAAACTGAATCCTAGGAAGAGTTCCTGTTTATCCATTCTCTGTCTGCTGCAGCACTACCCCTAAAGGTTTGCAACTTGGGGATTTCCTATATCAACAGCTCCTGCTACATTAGCAAATATAGATTGTGGTGGGGTGTGGGACAGGACTTTGGAGCAGGAGGATCTTTCTAGTGACTCATAATGTTTTTAATCACCTAAGACTACCACAATACACAACATGGGACTGCTTTGGAAGATCACTCAGAAGCTGTAGTTGGTTCAAAGTGCAATGGCCCATATGCTGATCAATGGGAGGATGTTACACCCTGAACTGGATGCCAACTAGTACTTGGTGCCTAGTTACCCGCAGGAATGCATTCCATCACTAGAATTGACGTATACAGCAATGAGAACAAAATGCTAGTGCTGCCTAACGCTAGGGGACCAAAGCTCAATGGACATCTGGATGGCTCCTTCTCTAACTGCCATGTGTTCAATCACAATCAAACAAAATCTCTTTGGGAAAAAAAAGGTGAAGCATTTGAAGAAAACCATTGCCCACCATTAAGCACTGGAGTGATTATGCTGTACTTTGGAAATAAAGTCAAAAAGCGCTCCAAGTCATAAAGTACTTGTAGGAAAAATAGATAAATATAAATCATATTCCTCAGACTTCAATATTATTGAAAATCTCTATCCTTAGCTAGATGTTGGAAATGTTTGGAACTGGTTTTTTTTCTGCTGAAGTGGGAATTACAAAGCAGTGACTAAAAAGATGTCCAAACCTCTGCATCTGCCATATTCTCCATTTTCTTATTTTGAATTGTAAACAACAGAACATAAAGAGCAAGTATGCTTTCAAATCTGCAGAAAGATGTCATCTTTAATTGTATACCATGTAGAGGTTTGTCAATCTCTGTTCACTTAGGAGTTCATTAAAACATACAATTTAACCAAAATGTCTAAACTTCTCCATGCAACTATATACAAATAGCCCTTGACTTACAACCACAATTGAACCAGGAATTTTGATTGTAAGTCATTGTGGTCATGAAACAAAATATCCACAGTGCCAGCTCCTCTTGTTGTGGTCACTGTGACTGTGTAGAAGTGCCTCAAGCGGTATGGGACCTTGGGAAGCCTAGTGGCCACCAGCATGTGGAAGCCTGCTGCTGGTATACCACCATGCGGGCTCCCCCACCCATTACTCCAAAGCCTCTCAGGCCTACTCCTTGTCCCATCCCAGCCGGCCA